TATGTAACTGAGGCTTTGAACTCTTGTTCTGCTGTCCCCAGCCACCAAGTGCTGGGATTGCAGATACAGGATATATGCCTTCTCATTTTGTTTTTAATGTATATTTTTTTCCTTAAAAGAAGATGGACATGATAAAGTCTAACGACACTTATTAAAAGTCCTTGAGATAAAAACTTGGCAAAATACTGCCAAAAGCAAGTTATGGATCAGCTGATATGGGTACTAGCCATGCAAAGGCAAGAGTCAATTTCTCCTAGGTTTTTCATTTTTTCATACTTTTGCAGTAAGTAAACATAAGTTGAAAAGAGTTAGGTGGAGTTTACCTTTACCTATGGTCACAAGAGTTGTCCTCTACCTGACCATAAGACAAAATCAACCAAGAAATATAAGGAATATACTATACTGATCCCAGGTACCTCCACCCCTGAGACTTTGGTTTAACTGGTCTAGAATACAGCCCAGTTATTGTTAGTTTTTTGTTGTTATTTTCCTGTATGTTGGAGCCCTTAAGTATTTATAATATGTAGCCAAAGTATAAAACCATGGAGTAGGGCTTTCCATAATATAGTAGTATTTAGATAGAAGGAAGGGTCACTGATAATATGACACTGAAGCTCTGCTTCAAGCCTGAGATAATAATGAACAAACATTTTCTGGGCATTTCTTTGGTACAGATAATGGAAATATGTGAAAACCCTCCAGATATGACAGCAGAACATGAATGGAAAACTGACATTGGATAAAGAATTCATAACCAGAGTAGTAAGGTGACTCTACACACAATTTAACCTACACTTGGGGGAATTAATCCACTATACATGTTGAGAATAGACAAAGCCAGTCTAAGGATGGCTGTTATGAAGTATTTTAAGAAATATCCACTGACAATGACTTCTGAGTTCCGAATTTAGTCATCCCCCTGTGTCAAAGGTCTCCACATGCATGGATTTAAAAAATGTATAGCAAAAATGATCGGGGGTGGGAGGGCAGGGTGCATCTGTATTGACAATGGACAGACTTCTTTCTTTCCATTAGTCTGTAAATAACACAGTAACAACTGTCATACCATTTACATTCTTAGGTATGAAAACAAACAGATTATTCGGAGTTCATGGAAGGAGTTCATAGGTCACATGCAGACATTAAATCATTTTACATGAAAGGCTGAACATCCTCAGATTTTAGCACCATGGGAGCCCTGAACCAAAGTCTTTCAGATACTGAGGGACAACTGTAAATGTAACATGACTGATTAACATGCTACTTTGACTTAAGTCCAACTCTTTTCTGTAAGTGAAGAGAGCGGCCATGGGCTAGTATTGTACTTTCCCTATATATACCAAACATTCTGGCCATGCTTCTTGAACTTGAATAGAGGATGCTGCAAAATCAAAGGTGCAGACTTGGTAAGGTGGAACAGGCCTGGGGTCTTGCATGTCTTACAAGTACCCAGATGCTCCTGGCACACAACGAATGCTTTGAGCAGCTGTATCTCAGAAGACTGGTAAGAAGACCAAGTAAACTGCCCTACATGAGGTAGCCTTTCGGCCAGTCTATCAGTGTTCTACAGAGCAGAAACAAGGGCAATTACACAACATGTTTGAAACTAGGAAGTGCATCCCAGCATCCTGTCTGTAGAAACAATGGGCACAGAGTTCTGATCCCTTCCCTCCTAACAGCCAAACATGCAGAATGGAGAAAAAGGTGACATTCAAGATCAATGAAGGCTGGGGGTACAGCTCAGTGGTGGAGAAGAGGCCCTGGGCTCCATCTATAGTGTGACAATATCTCAATGACAAGAAGCACAGAGAGTTTTCAATTTCCTAAAAGGAAAACCTTTGAAACAGTAAATGCACCTCACCACTAGTCAGCCCCTTGAAAGTGAAGTCTCCAGTTACAAACTGAGCATGGACCAATGGTAATGCTAGGGGCCATCAGCTGCAGGACAGCTTGGCTAACTAAAGAGGCATGGCCCACTCAATTATGTACAAAAAGCTAGACACCAAAGAGAACCTCCCTGCTTTCCCTCCCTACTCCAAGCCTCTTCCTGAAACCCTCTGCTGGGTAAATGGAGTTGCTTAGGTCAGAGGGCCTGCGAATCATCCTCAGCTCTTTCCATCCTCCTGATACCTCCTGTCAACAAATATTAGTAGTGGTGCCTCCAAAATGGTCCTTGATCGTTACATCTCAGCGCCTCCATTAAGATCATGCTGAACCTGCACCTCTTCCTGGATTTCTGAAACAGATCACTAACACATTTGCCTTCACCCTTGCTCCCCTACAGTATTTTCTCAGTATGGCAGTCAGGCTGCTACTTCTCTAAGAACTTCTAATGTTCGTATCTCATTCAGAGTGAGCAGCAAGGTCATTCTAACAGTTTACAAGACCCTACATGATATGACCTATGCAACCCTTGACCAGATTTGTCACCATGCTCCACTTCCAGCCTCCCTCGAAGTCAGTGTTTCTTGAATCATAGCAACAATGCTCCTGCCTCAGAACTTTTCCACAAGTTCTTCCTGTTGCCTCAAGCACACTGGCTTGAGAACCAGCCTTACCTCCTCACAGAAAAGGGGGAAAAGTATCCCAGATGCAAAGTTACTCTGCTGCGACTTACTTGTTTTCTCCTTTTATAACTAAAATCTTTAATGGAGCTTGAGAAAACAGCTACAGTGGGGTAGCCATTGGCAGACATCAGGCACAGAAGGCTGGAACATGGCGTTCAGGTGGATTCTTTCACAGAACATGCAGTCACCCATTTACAGAGAGTACTCTCTGGGGAACATCAGGGCAGCTGTACATGGTTGTTCTGGGTCACAGTATCCGACAGCAGGGACACTGTTCACTTAGCATTATGCAGTGTGGCCCCTCCAGCCACTCAGCTCTCAGGCTCAGAGATAAGGGCACTCTTGACTTGTCCAAGGAGCTTCAGAGGCATGGACATAAATCCGTGCATGTGATGTCTATGTGAATAACCGTGAACAAGGTAAGGAAGAGAGGGAAACTGAGATCTGGCCTGAGCAGGCGCCTTGAGGGAGAGGGTGGCATGTTGAATGCCATCTTCAGCTGTATTTCCTCCTACCTTTCACAGGGCTCATCTCTTGTCTCATGCTCAGGCTAGTTCCTGACAGGACAGAAGGAGCCAGAGGGGCAGGAGCTACATCAAAACCATGTGCCCTAGTTTAAGCAGAGCACTGCTTTCAGGAAGTCAGGGAGCAGCAAGGCAGTCTCTCAGAAAAGCAATTTCCCAGCCAAGGAGCCAGAATTCGGCTTGTGAGGAGTATTCATTGAGACACTTCCTCCAGGCCAACCCAGTGGAAGAACTGGGAGAACCTTGGCCCACGAGAAACAGCCCCTGCATTGGGGCAGAGAACTGACCAAAAGGATGTGGTATTTAAACCCCCAATTCAGAGACAGGTTGCATTCCCCTTTCTCTTGTACAGCCAAAGATGACAGCTCATCTGAGATCACAGGAAAACCTACCACACAGGGGCACGAGCACAGAGACAGTTCAGCACTCCCACGTGCTTTGGGAAAGTGTGTTAAAAGTGGGCTTGGCCCTGACATGTACACACAGAGCACCCCCACACTCCTGTTGGTGAGGTCAGGAACTTCCATTCCCATCTGTGGTCTGTGAGGCACATTTGCATCCAGCAAGAAGCCACACACAGACAGAACAGCCAGGCCTCCTAGGAAATCACTAGAACCTGTATTTCTCCACTTAATTCTCCCCTCTGGAGTAAAACATTAGTGATCATTTAAGAAACTTATTAATGTAACCACAGGCATGAAAAATAAAGCCTTTGACTATAGGAAAATGTGACAAACTTTTAACACCTGCCTTCGCCACACACATTTAGAATATCTTATTAATGGTAGGCTATTTACATGAGCTGGCTCCTCTTTGAGAGCCAAGTAATTCTCTATTCTTTGAGTAATTGTATTTTTATATAATGAACTGGCATAAAATGAGAAATCCTCATCCCTAATAGTTTGCCCAGCAATAGTATCACCAATGTTTAACACACATGAACATCAAGTCAAAGAACATTCTCTCATTCCATTTTTAACAGCTCAACCACAAGACACCTTTTAAAATCTAAAACACTTATACTGGAAAAATATTTGAGAATATGAGTCCTCCCGCTGAGAAGGTGCTCAGGGAACATTCAAAAGAAATGTATCTTCTGGTGACCAGGGATGAATGACAAGACAGTGGGACCCGGGGAAGTTGGAAAAAGCAAACTGCTCAAATAAAACGCCTTCTTCTAATCTTAATCAGTCAGATGCCAAAGTAAATGAACTTTCCAAAGTTAGGAGTCTCAGAACTTTCACCAGAACAACTACCAGCTGCATACCACGGGACCCACAAGCCCACCACTCTAGTGTGCCAGGCTGCAGCAGCGGGACAAACTGGGTACTAAGGCCTCAGTGCCTGCACACCTTGCAACATGCAGGGAAAGGGTTCAGGCCCAGCTGCCCTAGATGTGTGGCTCTGAGGGGCCTGGCCCTGTGCAAGATCTTACCCCTCCCTTCTCTCCCCAGAGCAGGGAGAGCAACTGGGCACTCAGGCTGGGCAGGTCCGGGTGGGAACCAGCTGCAGCCAGGCTGTAACCAACTCCAACTTCCCAGAGTTTCCTTGGCTCTTGGATCCTCTTTCCAGTTCCAAGGCCTCGGCGGCCTCCCCTAGCTCCCGAGCGACTGAGAGTGAGGTGGCGGGTGCAGCTAGGAGCTCAGGAGCCGCCCTCAGGAGCCCAGCGCAGGTGGCGGGCGTGGTTCCTACACTAGCCTGCCCCAGCCCACCCCAGCTCGGCCTCCGCGCAGCAGCCTCTGCCGGGTTCCAACATCAGGCCACGGTGCGCTGCTTTTGGAGACCCCCTTGAGCTCAATGGTCACCCCCTGCCCTCCTCCAGTCTGCGTCGCTCTCCTTCCTCAGGCCCTGGCGCGGCCCCAAGTCTCCATCCCAGGGCCCTTGGGTCGCGCTGGCGGGCGGCGCTCACCTGGGTCGCGGAGTCGGGGTCTGGCACGGTCCCGCAGGTGGTAGATGAAATCCTGGCAGCTGTCGTGCTCCAGGGCCCCTCGGGCACAGAGCTCGGCCAGCAGCTGCAGCGCCTGGTGACAGAGCGCGTCCCTGGCCCCGGGCATCGCCCCCCCGCATTCTCGGACCGCGCCGGGCAGGCGGGCGCGGGAGAAAGCCCTCCGCCTGCCAGCTCAGAGCCTCTACCGCCGCCGCCGCCGCGGGCCGGTCCACGCTCCCAGCCCGAGCCGCAGAGCCAGCGAGGCCGGCCTCCCACCGGTTGCATGCAGCTCTCCGCTAGTCGCTCGCTCAGGCTTTCTCCGTCTCCCGCGCGGCCCCTCGTCCCTCCCCCGGGCGCGAAAGGGAGGCGGCACCCACAGCCCAGCGCGCCTCTCCGCGCTCCGCCCGCTACTCGCGGCCGCCGGGGGCGGGGCCGGGTCAGGGGTGCGCGCGGCGGGCGGGGGATCGCTGAGGCCTCAAAGCAGACGCGCCAGCGGGGGACCGAGACCGGGGCGCCTGGCCGCCAGAGGAGCGCCAGATTCCTCTCCGGACCCCAGGCTCCAAGTGGCCGCGCCCAGCCTCAGGGAGTGTGAGCCGGTACGCCTGTCAGAAGCTTTTGGCACCCAATTCCCTGGGCCCAGATGCAAACCTACCCTCCCCCGACTCCTCCCCACCCCCTGGAACCCCCAAGGCTCGTTCCTGGGTGTACTAAGCTAAGGCTGAGAGGTGGACCACACCCGCTAGATCTCAGTACCTTCTTCGAACTTGGAAAGCACGGTCAAAGCAGAAACCGCGTGCCTAAGGATGTCCCAAGCCCAAATGCCAAATTTGGAGTCAAGATTTGCCAATAAAGAATGGATGTCCACCGCGGTGGTGATTTGGAGAAGGTGAAGGTTCTGATCAGAACTGAGGGTAGATGCAGGACCCCTGGAAAGACCCCGAGGCTCACTTGGAGCTTCTCAGGTCCTGACTGGTTTTCTAAGCAGGCGATTGGAAAGGCAAGGTTGCCAGCATTTCACTAGCACAGAAGACAGGGGATCTATAATTTGTGGATGTTTAGAAAGACCTCAGTCACCTCTCTTCTACCCATTTCTTCTGGTTTTTTAGGCACTAAGCCCAGAAATAACCACGAATTATTGAGCTTGTTCGTGTATACAAGGCACTGTGCCACAACCTTTTGTATCATTTCATTTAATTCTCTAGATAGCCTTGAAGGTGTGTGTGTGTGTGTGTGTGTGTGTGTGTGTGTGTGTGTTACCCACGTTGTACTGAAAAAAGCACACTCAGGAAGGTGCTACTTGCCCAAGTTCCTAATAAATGACTAGTCTTCCTCTCCTTTCTCTCCCTCTTTCCCTCTCCCTTCTTTCCCTGTTTCCCTTTCCCTTCTTTTCCTCTTTCCCTCTCCCTTTCTCCCTGCCTGCCTCCCTCCACCCTCTCCCTTTCTCTCTCCCTCTTTTTCTCCCCCTCCCATTTTGCATATTTATATAATCCTAATGTCAAACTTCATTGTAGAACAATTAACAAACACTCTTATCGGTAAGGTTGTGCTGCCTCTAAGAATGTCTTAGAAAATCTTTTGCACACGGAGGTAATGTAGGGTCCTAGAGAGTATTTGCTCAACAGACAAAATCTGAGGGTCTGTGGTGAGCAATGCTAGGCTTTGTGAAGTTTATATTGGAGTAATAGAGAATGGACAGTTGTAATTCTAAAGGTAACTCCAAAGAGCTGTGAAAAGACGGGTAGGCTCTTCTATATTTTATTTTCTATTTTTACTTTACTTTTCCTACATTTAAAACATTTTAGTAAAGTCAGGCAGTGGTGGTGCACTCCTTTAATTTCAGCACTCAGGAGGCAGATTTCTGTTAGTTCCAGGCCAACCTGGTATACAGAGTGAGTTCTAGAACAGCCAGGGTTCTAGGACAAAGCCAATAAACCAAACAACTAACCAAAAAACCTTTTCATTAAAAATTAGGCATAGGGCTGGGGTGAAGATCAATTGGTAGGGTTCTTGCCTACCGTACTCAAGGCCCTGGATTTCATCCCTAGTACCAATAAACTCAGCAGAATATCACAAGCCTATAACTTCAGTACCCAGAAGGTACAGGAAGGAGGATCAGAAGTTCAAGGTCATCCTTGACTATATAATGATTTGAAATAGCCTGGTCTACACATATCTCAAACAAACAACACATAAGACAAAACTACACATTGTTAGGGATGAAACCAACTGAGAAAGAGCCCCTGGGGAAGACTGGGGGTTCACTTCCAAAGGAGGGGACACTTGGAGGGTGTGGAGGATGAGACAGTGGAGGAGACACAGACTGGAGGATGGTGTCTGAACAGGGAAGGTGCATGTTAAATCCAGTAGCAATGTAATTCTTCTGCCATGATATCAGAAAGTAGATGAAAGCGTTAAATTCAGTTAATTAATAACTTGAAGAGATCAAGATCTGGTGACAACCTTAACCAGACAAAAAGCAATGACTGATGCCAGAAACACTGAAATTTGAAAGACATTTCAAATAATAAAAAGACTGTAACCAGTAGAATCTGAAAGAAACAAAAACATAGAAGTTTTAAGAGCAGAGCTGGGTTCCATTGCCCAAATTTGTAATCCCAGTATGCCAGGTCGTCCAGGTCCAGCAGGTAGGGCTGGGGAAGGGCCAGTCCAACCAGTTTCTTCCTGGGACTCAGAGGGATGGTGAGTGTCCACGAACCAGTCCTCCCCCCATGTGGAGGTTATAGGCCAAAGACAGGTTGCCATACTCCAGCCTGGCTCAAGAGGTTACACTGGGTCTCAAATCCAAGCATTTTAAGGGCCAACACCAGTCCTCATAAAGGTGGAAGCAGGAGAATTCATTCAAGTTCAAAGCCAACAGATCTAAATAGCAAGGTTAAGGCTAGTCAGCTACAGCATAAGACTCAAAACATAAAACAAAATAAAACAATTTAAACCCTAAAATAAACCAGGAACCAAACCAAAACACAAAAGAATCCTGCAAATCTCCCAAAGTTTCAAAAGCATACCTGGAATATAGGAGTCAGTAATGGCACCTAGAATGCTGGCCTAGAGTTGAGTGACAGGAATCTGTTAGTCATTAATTTGATTAGAAACATAGTTGCCACATTGAAGGTTACTCCCTGAAAAAGCTGGATAGGAGATAACTCTGGCCTTTAAAATGTGACTCAACAAAAGTACTGAAAAGGAGCAATTACAAAATTTGAAGGAAATTTACAAAAGTACAAGGAAGAGTATTTGATAGAAGTGATTGACAACTGTCAATTTTAAGAGTTTGAAGGTAGAGGGAAAGCTCAGATGTGTCCTTAGAGCTGGGTATCCTAGTGCAAGTCAATAATCGCTGCCCATGGGAGGTAGAGGCAGCAGGATCACTTGAGGACAGCTTGGCCTTCTATCTGAAACACACACACACACACACACACACACACACACACACACACACACACACACACTAATTGTTCTTATTGAACTTGTTTTAATGACTCTCAGAATTCTCTGACAGATTTTTGATTCAGTTGTTTAACACGACAGTTAGGAACAGCTCTCCGCTTGGACTTAACACCAACTCAACAAGAGTGGTACCATGCCTAGTACTGGAAACCTAGTTAACTAGCTAACTACTCAGTATTAGTGAAATCGTATTTATTGGAGGAGAGTCTACAACCACTAATTTACTAAACCAGCATAATCCTTAGCAGCAATCTATAAACAGTTGTCCTATACCCACAAATAAGTGTAGTCTTCATCCCTCATCAAGGAAACATCTCTTTGCAACAGACAGAAACCACTACAGAATACCATAACCAATCAAAGTGCAAAATTGTGGAGTTCAGTCCTAGCTGATATATCTACAGAACACTCCCAAGGAACACTGCAGAAGATGGTCATAAAGATTGTAAGAACCAAAGGACCAGGGAATTTGTTGTGATATTGTGTCTCTTAGTAACATCAGAAGCTATGATGGTAAAGTCTCACCAATATGACCTTCCCAGTGTGAACTGAACTAATGGACATGCCTAACTGGATGGAGAAAAGCAAAACAGTACTCAACCCTACACAAAGAACTATAAGCAAATGAGTAAAGCTGAGAGCAGGAGAGGTGGTCTCCCCCAGGGAGGAGCACACCAACTGGTTGTCCAGTGTCAAACAGTCAGCCCTGAAAACATACACACAAGTAATACAATATGGATTCAAGAGGTTATAATTAGGAATGTGTGTGTGTTTGTGTAAATACATATATGTATGTAATAACAATTAGTGAAAGTGAGGCTATGAAATTCAAGGAGAGTGGAAGGGGTATACGGAAGGACTTGGAGGAAGGAAAAGGAAATATTAAATTATCTCAAAAACAAAAAATACTGGTTTTTAAAACTAATAACTTAAAACTGCCACACACATGAACAAATTATCCACAAAATATTCTCCTTTCCTTCCGCAGGTTTTACAATGTATGTGATCATTCGCTAGCCATTTACTCTTACTTAGATGGTCAATTTAGGCAAACAATTCTGAGACCATTCCTCCGCCATTGATAAAGACTGGAGCAGCCAGTGTTAAGGATGATATTCATGTAGCCTTGTGAACTTTCTGGGTGATTTGGTGACCGTGCCAACTCCATCAGCTTTCTTGTCCACAGCTTTGATGTCACCCACAACAACTGCCAGCCTCATGTCACACACAGCAAAATGGCCCAAGGGAGGATAGTCAGAGAAGCTCTAGACACATATCAACAATGACTGCATTGACCAGATTCCAAGAAAGTGACACTATTTTCCAGCTTCTTGCCAGAACGGCAATCAATCTCCTCTCTAAGCCTAGCAGACTTACGTGCTATGTGAGCTATGTGACAATCCAGGACAGGGGCATGGCAGTGTAAATAAGGCTGGATGGGTCAATCGTCTGAGCAATGAAGCCACTTGCTTCCACTGGTGGGTCATTATTACTGTTATCAGCAATGTTGTCACATCTAACATTTTTGACAGACCTGTTCTTCACATTGAAGCCCACATTGTCCCCAGGAAGAGCTTCACTCAAAACCTCATGGTTTGTTTCAACAGACTTTACTTCAGTTGTGACATTGACTGGAGCAAAGGTAACCACCATGGCAGGTTTGAGAACATCAGTTTCTACTCAGGCCACAGGAATAGTAACAATATCACCAATTTAATAGACATCCTGGAAGGACAGCTGCAGATGTGTCAGTTGAAGAATTGGTAGCAGGATACAATTCAAAGCTCCCCGCAATATGACTTTACCCACACCACCATCTTTATGGGTGACTTTTAATCTTTTGAACCTAAGCATATTGGCA